ATATTAGGGTTCCCTATTTTCGGAAACCCCCATATACTATACTATACCCAAAAACCCTATTCTAATTATTAAGCCCCCTACATTAACAAGACTCCACAGGGTTGGGTGTCGGGTGACTGGATGTCTGCTTGCACATTTCGCTTCGCCATCTCGGGTGGTATTATATTTAGGGTTTAGGCGTTTAGGGGTTTAGGGATTAGGGTTTGGGGGTTTAGGGTTTAATACATCGTGAAAACGCCGTCGGAGTGGTTTTCGTGGTCGTAGCCGCCATGCTGCCACTGCTGCTCCTACTCCTATAATCCAACTCCCACTCCTACTCCTACTCCTATGCCTACTCCTACTCCACTACACGACCACATCTCTGCACACAAACGGATGTAAGTTCAGGTTCCTAAACCCTAAACCCTAAACCCTAAACCCTAAACCCTAAACCCTGAACCCTGAAACCCTAAACCTTATAAACCCTAAACCTTATATAAGCTCTATATCCTCCGTCGCAATATCCGCAGCAAACGAAGGCAAGCGATGGTCTGCCGCGCCTCGAGCTCCACCCTGGCGCAAAGGTTGAGTTTAGGGTTTAGGGTTTAGGGTTTAAGGTTTAGGGTTCCGCCCCTGGGGCCTTATCGTGGTTTAGGGTTTCGAAAGCTTATGGGAGCCAGGGACCAGGCTATAATGTGCACCAAAACCCAACTCTATTCAATCAGCGGAGATACTAAACACCAAACCTTCAAACCCGTATTTTCCAATCCCTAGAGCAGAACCCCGAAGCTGTAATTCCTTGTAATGGAGGTTTCCATCAATTAGGGGGTACCTTATTTTGGGGTCCTTATAAGTAAGGATCCTACTAGTTAGGGTACCCCATTTTTGGAACCACCCTTCCCACAGAGCCCAATACCCGCTAATTAAGGAATATACCTTAACCTATAGGGGCCTTAATATTATGGTTTACGGTATATTCCTTAATGAACGGGTGTTTGGGCTCTCCGGGTTATAGAACCCTTACCACAAAACAATATTCGAATTCGTAAGGCCCGGATAGTATCGGCTGCCAGGATCGAAAGCTTCTGCATTTTGGAGGTCCTTTGGCTTTTTCCTCGGGCCCCAGTTGTCAAACTTAGGGTTTAGGGGTTTGTGTTAGGTTTAGGGTTTGGGATTTAGGGTTGCAAGGGTTTGGGAGTTTTAAGGCTACTAACCACATACTATATACCCCAGTAACCTACTATTCACCTAACGTGGGACGTGTGGTTTGGCAGTTTCGGACGAGCTTCCTTTCTGATTCCTTAAGGGTCTAGGGCTTTCAGGGTTTTTAGCTTGGGGTTCAGGGTGCCGCTATCGGGAGAGAAGCTGTCTATTGCTAGTTGTTCCCACGCAGGGTGTTGATTTTGTTGCAACGGCCCTAAACCCTAAACCCCACAAGTTCTTAACCGTGCACCCTGGCCCCACAGCTCCGAAACCGTTTGCAGGGCTTACGATATTTCACACCGCACTCTCAGCGCTAGGCACCTAAGCCCTCAGATCCTGGGCCGATGCAAACCCTAAACCCTAAACCCTGAACCCTAACTTCGGGTTCAGGGTTTAGGGTTTAGGGTTTAGGGTTTATAGGGTTTAGGGTTTAGGGTTTAAGAACTACCAGAAGTCCCCGAGACCGGAGCCTTTTCTTGGCACGATCGGATCGCGCTGGACGCGGTATCGGGCTCAGTAGGGTTCCAGTTACCTAAAGGGTAGCTGACTAAACATACACTGGCTGAATTCTAAGGTTGAACCCATGGACCCCCAGTATGGGCTCTTAACCCTGGGATCCTTATACACCTACTCTATACCCTATATGTACCCTTAAGGGTCCCTAGAAAGGCCTAAGGGTCCATACTAGGGTTCTAACCTGAGATGAATATGGTAACTGGAGCCCCATGTGAGAAGGTACGGAGGATTCCCGCAAAAAAAAAACCTGCTGACCAAGCCGTAGATAAAGAAATCACTGATGGTCGTAGCCATGGTACAAGCCGCACCAGTGAAGACAGCATGACTGCTACTGAAAAGGTGGTAGCCAGCCTTAGCTATTCCGTAGACTCGCTTGAGGACGGAGACGAAGCGCTGTCACTTGCTGTATCCAGTTGCATCGGAGCGCCAGAGGGTTGTTCGCCTGTCTTTCGGGATTTGCAAACTAGGCCAGGACCAGGCATACACTACGGTTGATGATATAAATCCTGCATTACCTTAATCGACCCTAAACTATGGGAATTATGGTATATTCCTTCTTATGGGTAATGCAGGATTTACATCATCAACCGTAGCAGGACAAATTCCTTTGACGACCCAAGAAGGAGCAGTCCTGCCGGCAAATCTTGCAAGCCCAATTTGAGAAAGCAAGCCCTGATTTAGGGTTTTGAAGATCTACCAGACTACATCACACAGGCCTGAATGCACACCCGAGTCCTGCGAAACTTGCTGTCACACAGCCCTTACCCCTCATCCACAACAACGTCAACTTATCACCGCGAGAAGTGCTCAGCAAAACGCAGCAGCCTCAAGACGGTTTGTCAGGCTTCTGCTTTTGACAGTACACCAAGCTATGAGCACTCACCGTTCTAGTTTGCTGGCAAAATAACCGTTCCAGGTTTGAAAGAAAACATCAAGGAACCTTGAAACGACTAGCACAGTGGATACCTTGCCAGGGTTTCAATCGTGGGACTGACAGGAAATCGTTGCAGGGTTTGGGGTTGGCGCTTCAGCAGCAGATCCTTGCTTTTTGTAGCATGAAAAGATCCAGGTTGAGGAGTTTAGGAGTATGGGTTTAGGGGTCGAGGCAGGTTACTTGACATAGGTGCTTGATCTAGAATAGTACTGTTGTCGTTTATAACATCCACGGGCCTCCAACTTCGGCTGTAAAGTGGTGGAGAGGTTCGGAAAGACACTCGCATCTGCCTGATGGAGCGCTGGAAACCTACTGCCCAAAAACCCTAAACCCTAAACCCTAAACCGTGCCAAAACCCCCGAACTTCGTGGGAGGCCAGCTCAAAACCCTAAACACCTGAGCTGTTTTTCCTGGAACCGTAGCATCCCTAAGCCCCCCTGAGGCGCTACTTAAAGTAAGCAACTATGTCATACAATACCTTTTGAAAAAGGCATATATAGGACCCGAACAGAAAAGTAATGTAGGGGCCTTAATAACTAGAATAGGGTTTTTGGGGTATCTTATGCTATAATTATAAGAAGGAGCCCCCCCCAAATTAGTGTAGGTAACTATTTAGGCCCCTACATTACACTTGCCTTGTTTAGGGCCTTGGTTCTCTTAGGTAAGCTTTGAACTCTGAGCTTGGGAACCTTGTCTTTCCAAGCTGGCCTTAAGTGGGTAGTTCTGTGAATTAGGGTCCGTTTTAGGGTTCTTTTTCTTAGGGTGCCGTACTATATTGGGGACCTAAAAATGGATCCTAATTTAGAGAACTACCCAGGTTTAGGCTCCAAGAACTCATATTCTAAGGCTTTTGGCCCCAAAGACCATGCTATAGAAGGCTTCTTGGGGGCTATTTTGAGCCTTAGGGTTAAGTGCAGTTCGGGCCTCCGGTGTTTGTGCCTGCGGTTTTATAAACCTCGCATATTTTTGCCTAAAACATCCGCTCCGAGATGGGAAACCTTCAAACAAACAGCACACAGGCGAAGCTACGACCTTTAGTCGCGGAGCCCCAAGCCAGGACCTCCCAAGGGCCCTTTCATGGAGCCTTGATGGCTCTTAATAGTGGGTATTTAGGGCCTATTAGAGGGTAGTTGGGGGGTCTAGGAGTTGCACAACTCGAAGAAAACATCTTCAACCCGAGGTAGGTATGTAAAATTTGCCCACAGGAGCACGTGGCTTAGAAATCAGGCAGCGCCGTAGACCCTAAATCTTGAACCCTCATCAATTTAAATCTTCATGCCGGTTGAAATGCACTCAGTGACGTCGTCAATGATCCCCTCACAAAACCCGAAGAGCGCCGTGAAGGTTTAGGGACCTTTGATCCTTGAAGTGAACTGCCTGTTGCTCGGGCCAGAAAGAGCTGGAGCAACATAGTCCCACACAAAGGCAGGGATGCGAGTCACTTCATGCCAATGCCTCATGTAGACGGGGGTAGGGTTTAGGGTTTAGGGTTTAGGGTTTAGGATTTAGCGCTTTGATTGAGGGTGCTTAGTTAAACGGTGGAGAGCAGGTACTCTTTGGCAAAGTAATTAACTTTGTAGGTTAGGTTAGTGGTTCGGGATGTATAGGGTTAGATATTCGGTACATGCTTGCGGGAGTAGATATAGCCAATGAATTCGTAGCACATTGCACTCAACGTGATCCGAGAGAGTTGCTTAAGCGAGCCAGGCGCAAGCAAGTCCGAGCATGCTGGTGTAAGCCGTCAATGGCACAGGAAACCATATTCGATATTGCCCAACCACTGTCCTTTGCGCCCGCCACATTGCATGCACAGGACAACTGATGATCAGGTAAACAGCCAGGATCCTCGACATCATCTTCAGGATGAAGCATCTTTCATCACGAGGTTTCCACCATAAAACGAGGAGCAGGCCAAGACGAGCAGTAAGCGTAATGCTGTGGATGAGCCAGAAGGGAGCATCTCGTGGGTAGAGGTAGACGAAGTCGAAATAGGTAGCCCAAGCTGCTTCCAAGACATTCGGCACAAACGCTAAGAAAGGGAAAGCAATCTCTGCGTGACCCGCACCTCGAATATCAATACCCCGGCGTGCAATGTCTCGAAGTGTTGGCGATGACATTCCTGCAGCTAGAAGCACGCGAATAGCATAGTCCACATCACCGGTTTTATTGCCAATCTCTCCGAAAATCCGTTCGGCATCAGCTTGCTCGGAACATGCTGCCTGCACTATGCTACCCGAGAACCCACGCATGAGCTGCTTGGCCTCCTCCATGTTGGCTTCACCGTTCACGCGGTCGACTTCCAACAGCAAGAAGAAAGCCAAGAACGCGAGAAGAGCCAAGTGCTGTGTTACAAACGCTTTGAGAGTCGTCAGGTCCTGAATCCACTCATTATCAGGATCCATACTGTACCAGGTTCTCCCGTATACCCTAAACCCTAAACCCTAAACCCTAAACCCTAAACCGTAGGATCCATACTGTACCAGGTTCTCCCGTATATGAAGATGATGCCACACAGAAAGGCTCCGATCCTGTTCAAGAGCTTGCGGCAGCTGTTGTGGTTTAGGGTTTAGGGTTTAGGGTTTAGGGTTTAGGGTTTAGGGCTCATAGAACCCATGGCAAGACTGCTGTAGTAGAGAATCGGCTGGATCTTGGTGTGGATCTTGTTCTGTCGTGAACACTCGCCTGGATTGTTGGGCAAGTGGCAAAAGGGCACAGCCCCCATCCCGCAACTAAACTAGCACACATGGACGACAGATTGATTTACATATTCTACGAAGCATCGAAACAACAAAACTACTACGAACCCCTAAACCCTAAACCCTAAACCCTAGACCCCAAACTCGAAGCAACGACACCATCAACATTCAAGGCGCCGCATGTCATGCCCAGGAGTCCTGTCGACGACGCGGCCAGTCTGCCAGAAACTTATAGTAACTTGTTGAAATAGTATATGCTAGTCTAGTATATGATAGTACATGTTACATGCTAGTATGTTATAGTGTTTTAGTTAGTTCATTAAACTATAGTAACCTAACCTGGCCCTACCCAGACCCCCAAAAGGATCTAAAAAATAGATCCCCTAAGGGGGTTCCTATAAAGTACCCTTTAGTAGTTAGGGTCCCTAATTAGGGGATCTATTTTTTAGATCCTTCTGGGGGTCTGGGTATGCACCACCGAATAGTTCATTAAACTATAGTAACCCCTAAGGCTCCATGTACCCATATAGTAGATACTTAAGCCTTAACGTACCTATATAGAGACCCCTTTCAGGCGCACAAGTATCTACTATAAAGGTACATGGAGCCTTTGGGAACCTAACCTGGCCCTATGCACCACCGAAGACAGGTCGCCTGACATCGACATCTGTTCCATAGAATCTCTCTAAACCCTAAACCCTAAACCCTAAACCCACCACCGAATACAGGTCGCCTGACATCGACATCTGTTCCATAGAATCTCCCTAA